GAGAAAGAAAGAAGAAAAAGAAAGAAAGAAAAGAAAGGAAAAAAGAGGGGGAGGGAGAGAGAGAGAGAAACAGAGAGAAAGAAAGAAAAAGAAAGAAAAAAAGAAAGAGGAGGGAGAGAGAGAATGAGAGAAAGAAAGAGAGAGAGAGAAAGAGAGAGGGGAGGGGGAAAGAATGAGAGAAAAAGAGAGAGAAAAAGAAAGAAAGAGGGGAGAGAGAGAGAGAAGAAAGAAAAAGAAAGAAAGGAAAAAGAGAGGGAGAGAGAGAGGTGAAAGAGAAACTCACAGTCTCTTAGTGATTGGCTCAAAACTTACCCAGCTGACTTTTATGGCTAAGGCAGGACCTGAACTCGCCTCTTCTTGCTTTCTAACCCAATTCCTTAACCACTAAACCAAAGTGGCTCTTTCTAAAAATCTCTTTCAAGGGTCTGGCTTTGTTAAGCAGCCCCAGAGGAAGCTCCGTTACTCGCAGGGCGGCCGGTTTCCCAATGCTCTTCCTATGCATTGTGACAGGGGAAGATCCCGCCGAGTCCCGGCCTCTTCTGGCTCATTGCATTCAGACATTGGTCACCTTGGCCGACCAACCGATCTCCCACAGCTCAGACCAGACAGTGGATTTGCCCCAGGTGAGGACACAGCTGTTGGATCAGTGGTGGTATTCAAATTACTCTATTACCGGTTCTGTGGGTGTGGTATGGCTTGGTGGGCGTGGCTTGGTGGGCGTGGCAGGGGAAGGTTACTGCAAAATCTCATCCCCTCCCTGCCCCACTAACCTGCTTTCCAGCTCCTTTCTCCTGTGCAGGGCAACCAAAGAAGACCTAGCCACTCGGGAGGCGGGGCCAGTCAGAGGCGGTATTTGCAGGTTCTCCGAACTACTCAAAATTTCTGCTACTGGTTCTCCAGAACTGGTCAGAACCTGCTGAATACCACCACTTCAGTGCCAGATGTGGCAACCAGAACCATTTGTGAATAACGAAAGTCAGTAACTTTATTGCTTGCCACCCTAGGCTACAAGAATCTGCCCGGCCTGCTTGCCTTCCCAGGGGAACAACCAGACAAGGCTTCATGGATTTGGGAGGAGGGTCAACCTTAGGGCACTAGCGGTTGTGTAAGGACTCCATGCTAGATCATCGCTTGACTCCTTCCTTCCAACCTGGCTGATAGACTCACAACAACAGCATAATTAAGCAATAGTATCACCTTATAGGAGAAATAGGCAGCATTAAAAATACAATAAATACAATAAGATCATGAGGTATGGCCACTCTGTAAGTGTGAATAGAGTAGAGTAGAGTAGAGTAGAGTAGAGTAGAGTAGAGTAGAGTAGAGTAGAGTGTAGTGTAGAGTAGAGTAGAGTAGAGTAGAGTAGAGTAGAATAGAATAGAATAGAATAGAATAGAATAGAATAGAATAGAATAGAATAGAATAGAATAGAATAGAAGCTAGAAGGGACCTTGGAGGTCTTCTAGTCCAGCCTTTTGCTCAAGCAGGAGAACCTATACCATCTCACAGAAGTGACTATTTAGTCTCCTCTTAAAAACCTCCTTTGAAAACCTTCTTAAAAACCAAAGGTGGGGAAATCATATTTCAATAGAGTTCTGTTAGCAATAAAGGAGAATATTTGTAGGTCAGGGTTTGAAATGTGGGGTCCTCGGTGCTCTCTGAGCTCGGATGTTTTCTTCCAGACATTTCACAATCTAGCCCTGATGATGTTACCTAGTTGGGTAACGAAATGTCTGCAAGAAAACAACCGAGCTCAGAGAGCACCATGGGACCCCTTAGTTCTGTCAGCTTTCCCTCCAGAAAGCCTGCTAAACCATCAGGTTTGTTGTGTGAGCTCAAATCGCCAGGGTTCACTCTACTCTCTGCTTGGGTGAGGGTTGGACTAGATGACCTACAAGGTCCCTTCCAAGTCCGTTAATCCGTACCTGTACTTTATGGTCCAGCAGAGGTGTGAACTACTGAACCCTGAAGAAGACAAGCCAGGACTTCATGTGACGTCTGCACCGAGTCCTAATATTCTGATCAATTCTGCCCCATGTGGGACTTGATCTCTTTTCTTTTGTCTTCGGCAGGTTTCTGCCGTCCATGTGCTTCAAACGTTAGTCCGTGGTTCCAACCTTGGACCCGCTTTGCAACAACACATCACATCCCTGATGGTGTTGGTTCTCAAGGCTCTAAGCTCCCCTAGTTGGGCTATGAGAAACGCAGCGAACCAACTTTTTGGTAATTTCATTCATGGTCTTCCTTTGGAAGCTTAGATCTATTTGATCTAAGGCCACACAATAGAGAGTTATGGTTCCATTTAACAATTGCTTTGCTTAATGACTGACTTGCCAGTTCCAACTGTGGTCTCTGAACAAGGATTATCTATACATTCGTGTGGGTTGGGTTTTTTTTTTGGAACACACTTCTAACTTCCTATCTTTGCTTTCCTCCAGGTGCCTTGACCGCCCGCCTCCTTGGGCAGAAATGGAGTCCGGAGGATGGCCGTGCCAAGGATGGTATAAGCCCCGAAGCTCTTTTTGGCCGGCATGTTCACCTGAGAAACATCCTACTTGCAGAATTGTCCTTAGCTGTGGAAGTGTCCGTATCCGAAGGACCCAGAAGAGGGAAATTCCACCTCTGTCCTTCCCTATATGCTGTCCTTACTTTTCTGGCCAAGTTGCAGCCCAGCGGAGACGCCCAGGACGGGTAAGCTGAGAAATGGGAGAAGGCTCTTTGGTGGGAACTCAAAACCAAGGTGAAATCACCAAGGTGGAACCACTGAGTCATGTGAAGTTGGTAAAACTATGAAGACTCTTGAGTTCAAGGCCATTCAGTGCACAGGAGAAGCATCTCAACAGTAGCACTGGCTAGCTAACATCTCTAGCACTGATGATGCTACCTAGTTTGGCTAATTTGCAAGAGGACAACCAAGCTCAGAGAGCATCAAGGATCCCAGTCGTTGTCCTCCTCCCTCCTTTCCTCCCTCTCTTCCTCTTCACAAATCCCGCTCTCTTGTAGCACTGATAATGTTACCTAGTTGGGTCATGAAGATGTCTGCAAGAAAACCACCAAGCTCAGAGAGCACCCAAGGACCCTACAGTTCTCCTCTTCCTCCTCTCCCTTCTAGTCCTGATTATGTTACCTAGTTGGGTAATGTGGCAAGAAAAGTCATAAAAGGGTTGCGGAATGAATGTTTCACTTTGCAACTTTGGAGTCCTAACTCAAGGACTGCCTCTACCTCAGAGCCTTCCATTCCAGAGATTGTCCTGTGAGTTTCTCAATTGCCACTTGAGTTTCCACCCCAAACTGATCGATTCTCCTCCTCTTTTGCTTGTTTTATTCTCTCCAGCACTCTCACCTGCTTCTTGGAGCCCCTGATCCAGCTGTCAGGAAACCCCATCTATGCCGTTCGGGTGATGGCCGCCAAAGCTTTGGTGCCTTTCATTTCAGTGACGGACTATGGAAAGATCCTTCTGCGGTTGGCATCCAGGTTCCCGCAGCCGGAGGCCGCTCTGTCCCATAATGCATTGCATGGATGTCTGCTGCAGATCCAGGCTGTGTTGAATCAAGCTTTGGAGTTCGACCGGTACGTTTGCCTTCTTTGCTTTTTTTGTTGGCATTATGTTTAAAGAACTCATTGAATAAATAAATATCAGTCCGTGCTGCTAAAAAAAAATACTTTGCTTTTTTTCAATTTGCAGAGCAATTTTATTTTGCAAGACAGTAGCTCACACTGCTCTGCTGATGTTTCAACATCTGCTTTTCAGGCTGCATCCAGAGTTGCTGCGGTCCGTGGCCTGCAGGATGGAAAGCCACATCTGGTTGCTGATGGACATACGACGGTGCCCGTTAATCTGTGCTGTTTACCTTCAGGTTTTGTCCTTGGTGCAACGAAGCTGTTCTCCAGGTTTTGTGCAGCAAGTGTGGGAGCTGTTGTACAGGGATCTGGCCAGTCCTAAACCTGGTTTCTCTCCTATCCAGGTATCTAGGATGGTCAGGGCTGAGAGCCACTACAATGGATCAAAATAGAAGTTCCTGGTTTTGCTAAAAGGCCCTACTTTTAATTTAAAAAAACAAAATTGAGGTGGTGTGGTTCGCTGGCAGCCAGTGTAGACAGCAGCAGAATCGGACAGTGAGGAAGAAAGGGGACCAGTCAGGGAGTCTGAGGAGGACTTGGATGAGGGTCTTGCATCTGATGCAGAGATGGGACTAGGGACATCTGGGAGTGGGGTGCTGACTCTGGAGCCTCCGGAGTCTGGCAGCAGCGAGGAAGAGGAACGAAGGGAGCCTGTTCCCAGTGTGCATATGCGCAGAGCTGCTCGAAGGCGAGAGGCAGCTAAAGCATAAAGAGCAATTCGGGAGTATGGCTGGGAGGTAATTGCCCCTCCCATCAGGGATAAAAGTGAAACCTCAATGACGAAACCTTTGCAGGAAGCAAAGTAGTTCGATAGATTCCGAGTCCTCCTTGAAGCTCTGTATACTCCGCTCGGTTTCTGGTATAATTAATTGGAAACTTCTGTTTTTGGCAGCATTCCACAGCACTGAAAGATGTGTGCTTATCTTAGGGAACTGTCTAGGATTAGTTCTGGCTGGGAATGAAAGTAATTCCCAGCGTTGCATTAAAATAAGTTTTGCTTTTAAAACAAGTTTGTGTTTTAAGTGCGTTTGATGAAGCCCGGGTCAGAACAGGTGGGAAGGAAGACATTCTCAATGTGCTTTGTCATTCTTGAGGCGTGTGGGATTACAACTTACATCCTCCCCATCCAGCTTGTGAGTGAGGGGGATGGAGGTCACAGGTTGAGGAAGGCGGGCTCAGAAAACAACCTGGGAGAAAAACAATGGATGGAGATGGGTTGTCACCTTGTTGAAAAAAAGACACGGACCAATGGCTTTTTTTGGGATCTTCTTCCAGCTTGGTTCTTCCAACTTCTGCCAATGTGCTGTCAACTTCCTAAGCCAAGAAGCCACAAGACAGGAATCTCCTGAAAGAATCCGTGATCTAAGCTTGCTTCTGCAAAAAGGAAATCCTGACGTGCAAGTGGCTGTTCTAACTTGGTTGTTGGACAACGAGGAAGGGAAAGGCTTGAAGTCTAACAAGGAACTGCAGTTGATATTCATGGTGAGATCTGGTTTTTATCCCAGCAGGGACATATGGAAGATCGGAGATGGTGAACCTCAACCACTGGTCCATACCAAAATGCTGAGGGGTCTTCTAAGGAAATGTAGAGAGGATTACTGGGTCAAACTGGGATCTACAAATGTCAGGTGTTCTCCAGAAGAACTTCTGGTTCCAGTGTTGACCAAACTGATCGACATACCTTTAACATTCCAGGAGTCAAGGGCCATGTTCATAATGGGTGGGATCCCACATTGCCATACTATGTGTTGTGGCAGAGCTGGCAGCAGAATCGGACAGTAGTGAGGAGGTTGGGGAGGAACCTGGGCCAGTCCTGGAAGCTGAGGAAGGCACAGTTGAGGGCTCTGCATCAGAGGCAGAGATGGGGCCAGGGCAGGCTGGCAATCATGAACTGCCTTCGGGCTCGGACAGCAGTGAGGCAGGGGGGCTTCTGGAACTGGTTCCCAGCCTGTGCATGCACAGAGCTGCCAAAAGGAAGGAACAATTAAGAACTTAGGGTCAATGTGGGAGTAAGGCCACAGGTGGATGATGAATGACCCCTCCCATCAGGATTAAAAGAGGCGCTTTTGCAGGAAGCAACTCACTTGTTTGTTCGACTGTTCGTTCCAGCCTCATGAAGATTGGTCTGTATAACCCAGCCCTTCCCTGTCAGCACTGAGTGTGGAATTATACCTGGCAGCATTCCAGAATTGATGAAGGCCTGAGCTAATTAGTATACCTTCGCAAGACTGTTTGCCAAGCCGTTGGCTGACTGCGAATGAAATAAATTCACATTGATGTAATAAAAGAGGTTTTTGCCAGAACTCCGAATTGACTTTGTGCTTTTGGGGGAGGCCCAGGACAGGACAAGGTGATCAATTTAGTTTAGGGCTTGATGTCATGTGTGAACCTAGGTATTGTGGCTTGCAAGCCCTAGCATAGTATGAAATGTCAACCAGGTCTTCTTCCACAAACCATGGCTTAAGCATGATACATAAAACGAAAAAACACCCTTATTTCTCTTTCCCCTTTGGGGAACACTTTCTCAATTCTGTTACAGGGGCATTTATTTTGGACACAAAATATATTTCCTTTTCTTTGCCTTAGGAAAAATTCAAGGAGATCCTGAAAAACACAGGAGATCCCACAGTCCTGAAGTTGTACTTGAAAGTTTTTGTCCATTTGTTTGGCAACGTTGCTGAAAGACAGCCTTTCCCAGAGAAATTAGCTCTGGAGTGTGGTGAAATCCTGTTCTCTATGGTAGAGAGTGACCACCAAGGTCCCAGACTGCGCGGTCATGCAATGTGTGCAGCCACATTGTTCCTCAGTCAACAGTAAGTAGCAGGCGGAGGTCGAGAACCAACAATTGATGAACAATTGAGGGAAGTAGGTATGTCTAATCTAACAAAGAGAAGGACTGGGGGGGGGGGGATTGTCAGGATTCCATCAGTTACCCCCATTTAAATTATGAGTCTCGAGCCAAACTTCCAAAATTTCAAAATTTATTAGGAGTTAATGTGTCCAGCACTGCCTGGGTGTAACCGACTCTGAGGCACATAATTGTCACCCTTGACCCTGGTTTTCCCCCCACCCCCTGGGTGTATCGTAACTCATATTCTCCAATGGGACACATCCATAGCCAGTTAGATATTTGCATGGCAGAAACTTCAGACACCTAGTTACTATCTCCGAAAAACTATTTATGGAATGCACTTAACGATTTCCAATCTGATCTTCCCTCTCCCTTTCCATTGGCAACGCTAAAAGGACCATAGAAATATTTTCTGATTCAAGGTCAGGTTGTGTTGCGCATAAGTGAGGAGAAGTCTCCAATTGGGACGGAAGGTGATTGGGCCATGTGATGTGATGATGGGTGCAGGGGGTGGATTTGTAGTTTTTACTTTTTTGTAAGGAAGCCCGGAAGTTTCAGATTCAGGATTCCACAGCTGTGCCCGTTACTATCCAAGTAAAAAGGAATCTTTTGAGAGATGTCTGTCTCGGAGTTATTGGGTGGAATGGAGGGTCGCTGGAAGGCTGACACCTATGTTCTTCTCCAATGGAATCTACCCATGCTGGCTGGAGAATCCTGGGAGTTGAAGTCCACCCGTCTTAAACTTCCCACGGTTGAGAAACCCTGATCTAAGGGACCTCCAGGACTTGAACCCCACATAAGAGCCACTTTGCCTTCTTAGAAGTAAAAGAGGATCTGGTTGGAATCCAAAGAAGCAGATCCACAGCTATTCCTGCAGTGTAACTGGCTTTCTTTTGGGGCAGCCCTGAAGGCGATCCTTTACGGGGACGGTGGATTGCAACGGTAGAGCACTGGAGCGACTCCCTTTCAGACGAGGTGCTCAGGATGGCTGCAGCCAAAGCCGCCCAAATGGGTGGCCCAGCATGGATTTGGAGAGCCCGGACTTCGTCCAACTTCCTCCTTCATTCCCAGGTTCTACGGTATGTCCTTTTGGAAACAGCACCCGCACGGACATCTTAAACAGTTGCTGTGGTCCCCAAATTCTCCAGAATACAACCGGTTGTGATTCTGTCACTTTTCCCACCAGTGTTGGGAGATTGGGTCGTTTCCCACTATGCTCCGATGTGCAAACGTTCTGGGGCATTGTGGGTAAACTAAGTAAGAACTAGAGGGGTGGAGTTAGAATCTGCCAACCTGGGCTGCTTGGAGTGTGTACCACTAGGAAGGGAGAGCTCTGTGTAGTGTTTCTTTTTGAAGAAATGCTCATCACAGCGATATTGCGATGACCCAGGGTGGGATATACAAAACAAACACAGTCACAGAAAACAGGTGAAGCCCCTTGTATTCCTTCACTTTGCTTCCAAGCTCCGAATATCTTTGATGGGAGGCAAAAACACTCCCACACAAACAGTTACACGAAGAAGGAAAAAAGCAACACAAACCAGGCAAGATAAGGGCTGGAGGATGTCCACAGATAACACACACTGGGAAGGACACCAAACTCAGAGAGGAACTACAAACTAGAGATATTTACATGCTTTGTTTCCAGCATTCGCCAGTACGCAGATCCAAACTCTTATTCAGTTGTCACAGCTGCAGCCCATGAAAAAAAGCTATCCTATCCTATCCTATCCTATTCCATTCCATTCCTTTCCCTTCCCTTCCCTCCCCTCCCCTACCCTACTCCATTCCATTCCATTTCCTACTCTACTCTACTCTACTCTACTCTACCCTACCCTACCCTACCCTACCCTATCAACTTTCTTCCTTGCCACCACTAATTTTTTTCCTACCTGAGATTATGGAGTTCACCTTCACCACAAACACTCCAAATCTCAGGTGAATTTCTTTCCTTCTTACCTCTTCTTTAGGCTGATCGAGGCAGCGATTCGTCTCCTCCAAGATGAAGACCAACAGGTGCGCCATGCGGCTGCTTCCTTCGTCAGCCGTTTGGTGCAGTCACCGTGGCCCGCCCAGCAGGTTCAACCTCACAACGGTTGCCTTCAGCTCCAGAGCTCCAAGGCTCTGCTCAGCCTGCTAGTGTTCCTGCTCGAAAACTTTGGGGACCATCCTTCGACTTTTGCATCCTTGATGCACCTTCTCCCCATGGTAGAACTCCGTGAAACCTTGATGGAGCTGGAAAGCCAGGGGTAAGCAAAGAAAGGAATGAAGGCAACCAAAGCAGGGTGTTGTGGTTAGCCGGCAGCAGGTGCGGACGGCTGAGGAGATCGAGGACTCAGGTGAGCAGCCAGGACCATTAGGGAATAGATTGCTGCCTTCAGAGATTGTGGGGGCTGGCAGCAACGATGAGGAGGTTCCCGAGGAGCCTGTGCCAAGTGCACGTAGGATTGCTCGTAAGAAAGAGCAGCTGCAACAGCACGGGCAACTCGGGAGTAAGGCTGCAAGGTAATGGCTCCTCCTTCGAGAGGATATAAGCCAGCTTTGAAACGAACGTTCTTTGCAGAAGGCAAAGATGTTTTGAAACTCCAGCCTTGTGGACATTCCAGTATCCCGAGTTTGTATTTGAAGATCTTATTTTGCAAATTACTTCTTGTCTGTTATCTTTTGGCCAGTCTTGCAGTTTGGCAAGGCTTGTGCTTATCACAGCTAATTATTTTGCAGAAGCATTAAAAGGTTTCTGTTCCCTTTGGATTGTGTTTGATTTGTTGGAAAAGGACTTGGATCAGAACACAGGGGCTCTTTTTTTGACCAAGGGTGATGCCAGCCAAAGAGGTACTTCCCCAACTCGTTAGGAGCACTGGGATCTGCTAGACACAACAACCTAGCAATGATAGGTTGTTGGGTCAAGCTAGTTGAGTCATTGAATCTTGACTGATCCCTCTTCCTCAGGTTTGAAGCAGATCAAACTTCAGCTCAAACCTGGTTCCATCACAATGCTTTAATTGGGAAGTCCTAATTAGAGAACTGGCAATCAAGCTTTCCTCCAATCTCAATGTCCCTTGAGATCATGTGTGATAATCAAACTTGGGTTTTCTGTCGAATTATGGGAATTGGAGTCCAACAGGCTCCAAGATGGGAGATGTTACTGCAGATGAATTAATTTATCATGAGGGGCATTCAACCTCTTTCTCTCTGGCTTTGTTTGCCCAACATGCCTCCTTACTAGCCCATATAAGCCAAATTCACACAACACATTAAGCTAAATTGCGATTTGGTTAACTGTTTATGGTTCAGATGTTATGTGAATGGCATTTTTCTCTTTTCAGAGTGGTCAGTCTCTACAAAGAGGACGAACCCAACGTTTACACCGAGCCAGCAGTCTTCTCCCAGGTGTTATTACCTTTTCTACTCCAACTGGTCGAGAATGCGTCCATTTCTCAAAAACTTTGGGAGTCGATACAATCTTGGCTAGAAACCACCGGAGCTGGAATCGTCTCCACCATACAATTCTGTAGACAGTGGTGGAGTCAAGGTGAGTTGGACAAGGGTTCAAGACCGAGAGGTTTTCAACAGTTTTCAGAACCACAGTCCCAAAGTGAGTTAAAAAAAAGGGAGGGGCAGAAAAGCTGGCTGGGTGACTTCAGGCCAATCACCAGGAGAAGGTGAGTTCTAGTTCCACCTTAGACACGAAAGCTGGCTTGAGGACTTTAGGCCTGTTCCTCTCTTTCACCTCACAGGACCGTCGTTGTGGGGAAAACAAGACAAAGTTGTTGGTCACATTCACCACCCTATTTGTAAAAAAAATGAAGGCACAACTAAAACTTTTAGAAAATGGGTTTCCTGCTTACCAGACCAAGGTTCAGTGTGTCGGGCAAACACAGCCAGGGGCCTTGACCTGACCCAGTTATACATAGTGTGCAAACACCATCTCCATATGGTGGCCTCTCGGTTCACCTAAGCTTGAATTTCTGGATTACTGGCTTGCTCAGTCTTAAACCAGAGATGAATTCCTTGCGTGTGTCCAATTACACTTGGCCAATAAAGAAATCTGTTCTATTTGTGTGTTTCAGAGGACATCCCTTGCCTGCACCTCAAGGCTTTGTCCTGTCCTGACGTGCATTCTGCGATCGCGGCGCTGTTGGTGAAAGCTATCCTTGTGGCCCACGTTCTGAAGATCTTGGAAACCCAGAACCAGCCCAACTGCACCCCAGGAATTAGTGTCTCTTCCCAGGAGCTCAGCTGCACCATTCATTCCTTAAAGGACCTGCTCCGTCAGCGTGGAATAGCTGTTATGGTTAAGATGGAACCAGAGCAAGCAGGACTAGAAGAAAACTAGTTAAGCATCAAGGAATTTTAATAAAACTTTGGTTTTTGTTTTAAAAACAACCACAATGGGTAGATCCCAAAACCAATCCATTCCTTACAGGAATAACAAAATAACAAAGAGTTGGAAAGGATCTTGTAAGTCTTCTAATCCAACCTCCCGCTCAGGCAGAAAACCTATACCACACTTATGATGGTGCAGTGGTTAGCTGGCAGTATTGCAGGCTGCTTCTGCTTACTGTCAACTGCCAGCAGTTCGATCCTGACCGGCTCAAGGTCGACTCAGCCTTCCATCCTTCCGAGGTGGGGAAAATGAGGACCCAGATTGTTGGGGGGCAAGAGGCTGACTCTGTAAACCGCTTAGAGAGGACTGGAAAGCACTGTGAAGTGGTGTATAAGTCTAAGTGCTATTGCCCTCCCTCCCTCCCTCCCTTCCTTCCTTCAACTCTGCCCACAGCCAGTTCAACTCTGACCTGCTCAAGGTTGACTCAGCCTTCCATCCTTCTGAGGGGGGGTGAAATGAGGACCCAGATTGTTGGAGGAAATATGCTCATTCTGTAAACCTACATTATTATTATTCCATATATTATTCCGTCTTCGAATGACAATAAGAGCTGAGGTCGTGCAGTGGTTAGAGTGCGGTATTGCAAACTACTTCTGCTGCCTGCTGGCTGGCTGCAATTCGGCAGTTTGAATCTCACCAGGCTCCAGGTTGACTCAGCCTTCCATCCTTCTGAGGTGGGTAAAATGAGGACCCAGATTGTTGGGGGCAAGAGGCTGACTCTGTAAACCGCTTAGAGAGGGCTGAAAAGCACTGTGAAGCAGTATATATGTCTAAGTGCTGTTGCTATTCCTTCCTTCCTTCCTTCCTTCCTTCCTTCCTATAAAGTGGTTCGAATGCAGCATTGCAACTTAACTCTGCCCACAGCCAGCAGTTCGATCCTTACTGGTTCAAGCTTGACTCAGCCTTCCATCCTTCCGAGGTGGGTAAAATGAGGACCCAGATTGTTGGGGTTTGCAAGAGGCTGACTCTGTAAACCACTTCAAGAGGGCTGTAAAAGCACTGTGAAGCGGTGTATAGGTCATTTAAAACATTTAATTTAATTTAAACCTTCCATCTAAGAAACAATGGATCCTGTCAAAATACAAGCAACAATCCTCCTAAACCTTGGCAACCTAGAATCACTGGATTGGAAGGGACCTTGGAGGTCTTCTAGTCCAACCCCCTCTCAAGGCAGGAGACTTTATGCTACCCTGGTCAAACGGTTATCCAGTCTTTTTTTTGAAACCTCCAGTGACGGAGCACCCTCTGCACTAACTTTCTCACACAGGTCTTGTCCAAGTGCCATTGCTATTCCTGACAGTACAACTTTTAAGGACCATTCAAAATCAGGACAGCCCTGGAAAAGTGACTTGCGGCCGGTCCTTGCAGTTCGATCCACTTCGGCCATGTCTCTGCGGTCACATGAATTAATATCTGAATGCTCAGCAACCCGCATGTATTTACGATGGACGCAGCACCTTGGGGGGGTCACGGGACTGCCATCTGCAACTTTCCCAGGGGGTTCCGAGAAGCAAAGTTAATAATTTGCTTAATAACTGTGGCAAGGAATTTTGCAAAATCAGGAATCAGGGTTCTTTGCTAGAAACCATACTGTGAACGAAATAAATAAGAAAAAGTTAGCCTAGGAACAAATGAACATCATTTAAATCCTGCTGGGGAGTCAACATCGTCTTGATTAGTTTTCTTTTTGCTCTTAGGTCATGTTCTCTTGCTGAGATGAGTGGTTTCAAGGAGATAATAGCTTTATTTTTAAACTAATTCTAAATTCATTCACCCCTAACTCTTCTTTCTTGTAGACTGGCCATATTCAGTTCCTGCAACCGTTTTTGTTTTCGGGCTTTTAATCATCTGGAGGCAAGTTGTTCCACTGATGAATTGTTCTCACTGTCAGAAAATTTCTCCTTAGTTCTAAGTTGCTTCTCTCCTTGATTAGTTTCCACCCATTGCTTCTTGTCTTGCCCTCAGGTGCTTTGGAGAATAGCTTGACTCCCTCTTCTTTGGGGCAGCCCCTGAGATATCGGAAGATACCCAATTCCGGCGACCGTTCTTCATATGTTTTAGCCTCCAGTCCCCTAATTATCTTCGTTGCTCAGCCTTGTTACTTGGCATTCATTTAAATGAAACCAGGAGACAAGTGGTTTAATAAGCAGGCAACATTGGTTTTATTGTCAGCATCCGTGCCGGAGAGCTGAGGAATTCCAAAACCAGACTAGTCTTAGGCTGCCAGGGCATAACAGCGAGACATTTAAAACATTTAATTTAACTCTTCCATCTAAGAAACAACAGATCCTGTAAAAATACAAACAACAATCCCTCTACACCCTGGCCACCTCTGCAATTCACTTTATCTCACAGGTCTTGGGAGTCCATCCTTGGCAATTTTGTTGACTTCAACTCCCAGAATTCCCTAGCCAGCATGGGGGATGAGGTCCACAGCTTTTAGTGGTTCAAAGGTGGACACCCCTGATATAGATAGTAGAAGGAGGAATCTCGATAATTCATTTATATCGACATTCAGAAAAGAGAATGTAAGATTGGTATCATCTCCATTTGGACCACGGGTTCTCCCCATTACTGTTACCTCTGAGTTTCTCTGGACCAAAATTCTTCTGGACCCAGCTGATGCCCAACAGCAGCAGCCAACAATGTGGGCCTTGACTTGTGTCCATGCGCTAATCCAGAGCACGAAGCACAGGTTGCGTTTAGCTAACCTGCAACAGGCAGGTTAAAGTTGGAAAGCAAGCGAGAGCATGCAGGGGAGGAGAAGGCCATCCCCAAGAATGAAAGAGATACAAGATGCAAAACCTTTGGCACTGATTAGTGGAAATGACCCAACTTGGCACCTGGGCAGAAGAGACAAAGGGGCTGCCTTCCCCCTTCTTAATACAGTACAAGAATCGGTCCATCGGGGTCGCCTTTTGTCAGTTTCT